GAGTACAGGCGTCCTCCATTTTATATGATAACCTATGTACAGTGATTACAACAGTTACATTGTATTTTCCATCAAGTGACCCAAGAATTATAGTTCAGATAATATACACTTCTTGGTTGACCCAGACTGTCCTGCATAATGTCTTTGGTACTCTCACATAGCAGGTCTGATGTTCACCGGGCCTCCATCATTCTGCCTTCTGACCGAGCTCCAGGCTGCTGGAGCTCAGCTCAAGGCTTCCATGAAATGTGAGGCGTTTTCTTGTCTTGATATCAGTTGCTTCTGTTTCATTTCACCAAGTTTCTGTAGTGGCAAAGGATCTGATTGATAACTGGACACATGACCTGAGGGTTATTCGGAATAACTTTTCTTAAGAACTGTTAGCAGTCGGTGAAATTATCAATAAAATGTATTTTTCTTGATGGACCACATAATCTCAAAATGTGAGGATCAGTCTCAAAATGCATTGGTCTATACAGGTATGTGTCAATCTGGGACAGATGTAACATACACAGAGTTTCAATGACGGTTATGAATCTGAGTACTGACATCCCTAACCAGAACTTCTCCAAATGAAATGCACACAACTTCCCCTTTAAAATGAAACAATTGAATTTATTCCAGTTGCCACAATAATTAAATCAACAGTACTTTGATACACATTACTGCCTATTTGTCAAGATCTTGGGGTTTTGGTCATATTGTGGTTTGTTTCCTAGGTTTTGCCTTTGTTTTTAGTGTTTTTTCTTAGCTTCCTGTGTTTTGTTTTGGCTTTCTTCTCAGTTTCCTGTGTCTTCCCCTAGTGACTCTCAGTCTACTTCACTTCCTTCAGTTCCCTCATATTCTGGTTATTTAACAAAGTCACTTCCCCTGTGTTTCCTGGGTCAACTGCGTTTCTTCCACTAATCATACCTCCCTCTATAGATTCTTGTCAGACATATCAGTCGTTTCGGATTCTGGCTGTGTTCTCAGCACAGGTTACTCTGCCCTGGCCTGTTTCTTGTGTTTGTCATAGATTGGTTTTGGTTTTCAAGAGTGGTTTCAAGTTCAGTTGCTTTTTGTTGTAGTTTAAATAAACTATTGTTTCCCTTGACCTTCCCTTCCCCTCCCCGGAGGACTTGCTGGAGTTTCAATGCGTGTTTGAAAAATGGCACAAGGCCGTAGAAGAGGAGGAAGCAATATTCAAGAAGAGACAAACTGAGCATGGATACTCAGACAATTTAGTCAGTATTCGTGTTTTGGAGTGGTGGGACGAAAAACAAGTAGAGAAGCTCCAGCTAGGGTTTGAACCAGAAACACTCACTGTGTACAAAAATACTCAAATTAAATACAATAGACAATTTCAAATTTATTTTTTTATTTTGATTGTGCACAGCAAATTTACATCCAGACACCGTTCAACAGAATCAAAATAAAAGACACAGAAAGTAAGAAACCCACCACAGGATGAGAGTCAAACTCAGGTTGCTGCGGGCCCTGTAGGTGTTTGATTATTCCCACCTTCAACACGCCTGATTGGGATTAAATAGATCAAGTCAAAACGCTCTTAAACTCTGAACATGCCTGCTGATAAAGGATTTATGTGCATTAGGTGTGTTGAAGCAGGAAAACCTCTAAAAACCTGCAGTTTAGCGCTGAGATCCAGGGTTTGACCTCTCTGCATGACTGGTGAGGGTCCCATGTTTTTTATTATGAGAAAAAATATCATCAGAGCAGCTTTGGCTTGTGCTTTTGGTGTTGGGCCTGTTGACAGCATTTAGTGATGCTGACTAGACAGCATTTTAAAGGTTTTAGATAGGAGTCATAACACCAGTGAATAAAACACAATGATTCATTCATCACTTGTTTTGGGTTTAAAAAGGACACCTGTAAATAGGTTCAATACGCTTGAAATATTCTTCTTACTAAATAACTGTAAAATATTTTCCTGTAGTAATACATGGCTCTGTTAGAACCGTTTGGCTGGAAATAAAAGCTTCTTGAGGTGCTTAGAAATTTCTTTCATTTTCAGTCCATACATTATAGGGTTAAAGAGAGGATGATACATGATTAAGAGGAATGTCATCATTAAGCGCAGAGTTTTTGGAAAATCAGCATCAATATGAACTCTGATGACATCGAATGCGCACAAACAGGAAAAGTTGATTAGAACAATTAGGTGGGGCAAACATGTCTGGGCTGCTTTTTTCTTCACCTCCTTGCTACTCCGATAAGTTATTATGAGAATCCGGCTGTAAGTGAAAAGTATGTAAAACATAGGAGCAATTGCAACATTGCTTAAAATCACAATATCCAGTATGATCTGCGCCTGTGAGAGAGCACACTGCAATTTGAAAACAGTGTTGTTGCAAAAAACTCCTTTTACAATGAAGCTGCAGAGTTTCTTATTAGCACTCAATCCAGCTGAAAAGGCAACCTGAGCAGCAGGCATAACCCAGGAGAAAATCAAAAGATTAATGATGGTCCTTTTGTTCATGATAGTTGCGTATTGCAGAGGTTTGCATATAGACACATATCTGTCGTAGGCCATGGCTGCCAACAGTAAGAATTCTGACCCTCCTAAAGAGTAAAACATGTGAAACTGCAAAAGACAGACTGAATATGACATGATCTGTTCTTTTGACAGATAGTCAACCAAAAGCTTTGGGTAAACAGTACTGCTCCATAAAATAGAGTTGATCAACAAACATGCAATAAAAATGTACATAGGCTCATGGAGGTTTGGGTGAGCCCAAATCAAATAGACAACGATCGAATTAAAGCACAGTATCAAAAGGTAAATAGTAAGACTGACCACCAAATAAAGAAATCTGTATTTTTCCATCTCCACATGCCCACCAATAGTAACATATGATATGTTCACATCATCACCCATTCAGAGTCCTGACAAAGAGAAAAAGAGAAGTGGAATATAACAGCATTTAACTGAGATAAGAATCTCTCAGCCTCATTAGATTTACTTAAACTCCATTCAGATGGAACAACAGACAAACAACTTCTCTGGATTAAAGGATCTTGTGTTTCACCTGAAAACAGGGGCTGAAAAATTAGATCACAGACTATTAGTAACTGGCCAAAGATACAAATAACCTAAATGATGAGCTTTACCGGAGCATACAGAAATAATGTTAGAAGATAAGACAAGCGTTAGTGCTCTGCTGTGACTCTGTCCGCTTAGATGGAGAAAAAGAAGCAGTCAGTTAATACATTTAAATTTCATGGAAGTTTGCAGTAAAACAGAGAAATATTACAGAAACATTACCCCCACCAGCTGTAAGCAAACCGAGAAATGGAAATTAGTTGATGCATACACAAGTCAGATTTTTCTTTAAAGAGGCTTAAAAGCGCATGTAATCTGTCTTATTCAGAAAAGCATCAACATTGACCATTCTGAGTAAAACACAGTCACAGAATTAGATCAGTGCATTAGAATACATATCAAGCAACACATTACAGTGAAAACAGAGTAGAACGTGCATCTAGAGGTCTGAGCTGTGGACAGGCATAGTAATGGGTATCTTGGGCAACAAGTATCTATTATTAGCACATACAAGCGGCACAGAGGCAGGCTGCTCTCATTAGCTGCAGCTGCCCCCAAATGACTGTTTGATTGTTACTTTAAGCAGTTTTGGGTTTGAATTTGCATAAGCAGGTGTGTGTCCTGTAGCACCGACCCAATCAGAAAGCAGTGTAGGTGGGTAGAAGAGAAATGAAGCAGGGGGGAGTGAGGTCCAGGCATCAGGAGTAGCCACCAATCACAAAACATTTGTTATGTATTAAACTGCATTTTCCATCAAGTGACAAAAGAATGAGAGTTTAGATAATATTCTGATATCGCAGAATGTCTTGCATAATGTTATCGCTTTTAATTTTTGCAATCAATGGGATTTTTCTCAATTTCCAAGAGTACCTGATGGGCTTATAGTAGTACGTAACAGTCCCAGTTATAAAATGGCAGGCTGGCTTAATGTTATTATTTATTAATCAGGCACATACAAAAAAAATCTATTCAAAGCAGCCGATAGATGAAAATAGACAGTACGGCTTTATATTGGTTTAATGTATAGTTGTATTCTATGGTTTAGTTATTAAGACCACAAGACCTCCAAACACTGGCATAATTAGTGGCTTCAATTCCCACTTTTAATTTTCTCCACGCTTTTTCTTTTTCTTTTTCTCTTTCTCTTTTTTCGAAAATACATCAGGATTGTTTCATCTTGACTGAAAGCTCCCATGAAATATTAGGAGTTTTCTTGTCTTGATATCAGTTTCTTCTGTTTTATATCATCAGGCTCATATGGTGGTGAAATATCTGATAAGTATGTGGACATATGAGCTGAGGGTTTTTTTGAGGAACTTTGTCCAAGAACAGTTATCAACATTGAAGGAAATTATCAGTACAATTATTTTTCTGGGGGCACCACACTATCTCAAAATATAACCATCGGTTTCAAATGATGTTTGTCTATATATGCCAATCTGGAAAAAGATATTACGCACGCAGGACTTCAAAAGCTTTCAATCACACACAGTGATCATTGAATAACATTTCTTTTAAAACATTATAACATATTTTCTTAAAGATGGCACAAAGTTTAAATCAATAGCATCTTTATTGATATGCTTTATTGACTTCTAAACTAATACAATCAACAAAATAAAGAAAAGGAATTGAGACCATTATTTTGTGTGTGTCAGTGGAGGTGAGTGTGTTGGGAAAGAAACTGGACCTGTGTTGTTATCACAGGTTTCTGATAACAACAGAAACCCACGTGAGGTGGCATGTTCTAATCCAGGTGTCGGTTTCTTGTTTTGTTGAACAAAGAGCGATATTTTGTGGGTCATCTCTCAGTGGAATTTCAGCTGTACCTTTGCTTTGGTTTAATCAGCTGAAAGAGGGGTAATTGCAGGCCTTTTGTGCACCAAGAGAGGGACAAAGACGGAGAGATGCAGGTCAAGCGTACGACTTTTCTCTCTGTAGGTCTGACTAATAGAGAGTGGATAACAGGCCTGAGGGGTTTGTAATGTAATATGTCACACAATCCTGACATCGATCTTGATATCTATGAAGAGAATAGTTTTTCCACTTTTTTCCAGCTATCATTTCAGAACATTGTCTTTTTTTGTCTGTCCTTTATAAATCAAATGAAAGAAACAAATAAAGACAGAGCTAAATCAGCAGAATCACATAAACGGCCTGATCTCTTTCATTGTATTCTTAATGTTAATCGTGTGTGTTAAAGAAAGAAATTCACACATTAGAGAACACTGCAGGATCAGAGGTGTGATTTTTATCACTGTTACAAAATTAATTTAAAAAAATTTCGGGCTTCCAGTTTTGAAGCATCAATTTACTCTTTTTCTACAAAATAGCACCTTAAGATGTTTAGAAATTTCTTTCATTTTGAGTCCATATATGATAGGATTGAAAAGGGGATGGTACAATATCACCTGTAAAGTCATTATCAGTTGCAC